AGAAGAAAGGAGGAAAGACAGGCTTGCAGTGCTCCTAATCTGCCTTCTGTGCCCGTTCCTGCCTTGGGGGTGAGGAGTGCCCCATAAAGCTGTGCTGAAGGTGTCCACTGGCATGTGGGGCACACCCTGGAAATGAGCTGAGTAGCCAAGTGTTCTGCTTCAAATCTCATCCACTTCTGACCTTGCTGATACTGTTAGAGTAATTAAACTCCACGTGTCTCCTTTCCCAACTTCATAGAAATTGCAGTGGTTTTGATATATCCTGTTAAGGCATGCTTTGTTGTTTGGTTTTTTCTGGAGCATCTAATCCCTCAACACTGGTCACATTTTGATGCTCAGTTTTGTTACTGGAGCACCTGAAGTTACCCTGTCATCAACCCAATCCCTGCCCCCTCTGCAGCAGGCTCCAGGAAAATGGCACCACACAGAACTCCAAGGGCTTTCTGCTCCAGGAATCCCCTGTGAGACACAGGACAATGGAAAGAGTCCCTTGCCTGTGGGTCTGGGACAGCATTGGTCAGAGTGGCCCTGATTCTCTTAAATGGAAAAGAAAAATTAAAAAAAAGTCTAACAAGTGGGCAACAGTGTCTGACATTCACTGGAGGTGGGAGTTAACAAGGAACAAGAAACAGGAGTGGTGATGGGCTGTAGAAACCTTGAGAAAGGAAGGAAACAGGAGGAGGGAAGATGTGAAAGCAAATGTTTGGAAATCAGTCAGTCTTCATAGTGGCATTCTGGGCAAGTACCAGAGCTGTGATTATGCTTTTCCTGACCGGAAAAAAAGGGTGTTCTGAAATTGAGGTGGTGACAAAAAAAAATCCCAGAGGAGCCTTAGCTATGTGAATGATGGTGTGGAGAGAGAGAAGTGGGAATGTGTAGGTGTAGTCAGGGGTGAGTCAGCAAGCCCTGCTCTGTGAGTGGGGTGACAGCTGGGCACTGGCCATACCCACACTGGGTGTATCAACACAATACTTCAGGGAAATCGGGTGTTTTGTACCCCAAACACAACACACAAACACACTCTGCTGTGGATTTAAAAAGAAGCAGTTCTGGTTCTTGTCTCTGGATGTCATTGTTGACACGAGAGACAAAAAGAGGAATGTATCAAGAGGACCTTAACTTACTGCCTGCAATGTAGCACTGCTGTAAAAAGGCTCATTTGATCTCCTGTTTTCTCTGGATCTAGTGTTTTTACACTACAATTGCTGCTTCGTGGTAGAGAGTGAGGAGTCAAATGTAGGTGCTTTGCCAGGCCAGGGGGAAATAACAGTGATCTTCCTGGCTAGTGTGAGGGAAGAGCAGATATGTGCCCAGTTGTCTCATGATTCTTAATCTTTCTAATCCTGTTAATTCTCTATTGCTGTGACACAGGCTGTTACAATTTGTGTGAACTCCCTGGTTCTCCTCCAGTGTCTTCTGGAGTTCAGGCCCTTGGCAGTTGGGAGTCAATAACATGGTTGCATGTTTTTAGTGACTGTTGTGCAAAGTGCTGTCTAATTCCTGACCAGTTCAACACTAAGTGGCAAAGCTTCAGATTTACCTTGCTGATGATCTCAGAAGTTGTTTCTGCCAAGTGGTGCAGGTGGTGTGTCACTGTGTGTGTTGCAGGGGTTTAATTCTGGAGTGCATTCACACTTGCTGCTCTTGTTCAACAGAATCCCTTATGGTTGTCATCTCCTTCCCTCTCACCTTTGTGAAGATCTGGAAGTGGCTAAAACCTGCCAGTGTGGGAGGGCCTGTCTGAGCAGCTTCATCCAGATCACAGTGACCATGAATCTCCATCACGTGGCTCACACCGTGGTCCTGGTGGACAACATGGGCGGTACAGAAGCACCCATCATCTGCTACTTCTGCTCCCTGGACTGCTACTCCCAGTTCCTGGATAGGCATCTGCAGAGTCAGGGCTGACAGTGGGTGCAAAAGCTCTGCCTGAAGTTCTGGCCAGTGACAGAGGAGCCTGAAATTGTGTTTTTGCTTCTTTCCCACACGTGCTGTCCTGGGGCACTTGCTGGAGGTGGCAGCGAGGGGACACTGTCAGCCTGGTCTGGTGGCTTGACTCTCTTCCTCTGCCACTAGAATCTCTTCTTGGTTGGAGTAAAAAGTGATGCTTAGCTTGAAAGACTCTTCCTTAGAATGTATTTTGGTTTTCCCTGTTCCTGTGACACTGTTGGGAGCATCATGACAGTTTTGCTTTGTGGCATAAGTGGTTCCCTCTCGCTAAGAGAAGGAAGGTGAGCACAGGTCAAACTGCTTTGCTCACAGGAGGCTCTGAGCTCTGTCTGCAGAAGACTCTGCTGACTGTAGCACTGGGCTGGACTCTTCTTTACTTGTTTACTGTAGAGCAACAAGTCAGGCTGCTGTGAGAAGAAACTACAGTGTGAGCAGTTCAGAACTGGTCACATCATTCCAGGTGCTCCTTTTTAAGAAGTTCTGTTACACCATCCCCACCTCAAGCAGGGACCAACATTGATGGGTTTTTACCAGAGCAAATGTTTTTGGGTTTATCTCTTTGTAATACAATAAATGTCTTTTTTCTAAATATGTGACCTAAACTTTGTTTCTTAACTCTCACGTTTTAAAGATCCTTGAATTGTTCACTGTGTCAACTTAATAAATTTTGAAACCCTTCCATGCACCTGTGAGTTGTGTTTTCTCTTAATGAGCTTTTCATCCAGTGTATTCCAGGGATTGGCTTTTTTTCCTGGGGAAAATACCAGATCATTTGACTATCCACACCCATGTTTCAGGTCTTGTCAGCTGGTCCCTGGCTGAGGAATCATGGACCAAAAGTCCCCTGAGAAAACTTCAGACATCCCATGCCCTGCAACTTGGGGTGGCTGGAGGGGAACATGTTGCACTGTTCTTTTTGAAGCTGTGTTGACTGCCCACGAGTGAAGTGCATCTCTCTGGGTCATAGAAAAATACACCTCTGTGGTAATTATATGTAGTTTCAATGGGAAAACAAGACACCTGTAGTTACTGGGTGCAGAACTGATCTAGACTAGTCCTGAGGTGACAGCTGGGTGTGATGTACAGCAGGAGGAGCAGCCCAAAAGGCAGCAGCAGGCTGTGGAAGAAGGTCCTGGCTGGGCAGGTATCACTTAACATCTCCTGCATGAGCACAACCTTCTTTCATGTTTTAAAAATAATCAGTTTCAAACTCTTTACTAATCTGAGACATTCGCAGCAAAAATAAACATGGAAGGGCTTCCACTGCAGGGAGACTGCTCTGACAAGGCCAGGAGATGTGTCTTCCTGAGGAAGAGGAACCTTCCAGAAATATTGAGTGTCATTCAAACTTTCTGTGAATGTCAGAATAACTTGACTGTGCTCTCCTCACACAGTGTTTGTAAAGCACTAACTTACAAGCAACTGCAGAAAGATTTGGATTAACTATTCCATGTCTCTTGCTCTTCAACTAGAGCCCTTGTGAGGGGGGAAGCCAATAGTGCCTGTTTTCCTCAAGCCTGATCTCCGGGAAGCGTTGCAGAGCCACCCCGGGAGGTTTTAAATAGTCATATGCTAATGCTCCTGTGAAGGAGAGATCCCGTCCTGATTGCAGCAGCCTGCGGATTACTCATCTGGAAAAACACCTTCGAGGTGGAGAGCGTGATTAAGAGGAAGGGAAGTGGAGCAGACGGAGAAATTCGACCTCCTGGGGGACTCGAGGGGAATTTTCTCTGCAGAAGCGTGGGTGTGTGCGCGGGGCCGGTGCCTCCCGGGGGCCTGCGGGGCTGGGCGGGGAGGAGCCCGCACCTGGGGGGGCTGGGGAGCCCCGTCCGAGCCCGGCTGCGCTGGGAGAAGGGATCAGCGAACTGTGGGAAAGGGCTTTTGTATGGGAACGTTTTGCTGCCGGCTCCGCACGTGCTGCTGGTGTGTTTTAAACCCCGGGTGCGCGCCCTGGGATGACATTATCTCCGAAGTGCCTGCCGTCCTCAGAGCTGACTTGGTTTCGTGTAATCCCCTGAAATTACAGCAGCGGGTGCAGGCTGGAGGAGCGTGGCAGGGCTCTGGAGCCCTGTTCTGCAGAGGTTCTTCCCCAGACGTGGCTGCAGTGGCACCAGAGCAGCTTCCAGCAGCGCAGCGACGTACCCAGCACGCTGAGATCTCACCATCTCCTCAGAGGTCAAACGTGCAGAGGAGCTTTCTAAACTTCCTCCCTTCCAACAAAAGATGAAGGGAAGTCCCTGTGCAGGAAGCAGAGGGGTCTCCAATATCCCCAAGTTCCCCTGGGAATCTATCCCAGCTGAATAAACGTTTTCAGCGCCTGGCAGTCACTGCACACAAGCTCTCTCTGTGCTGCAAAGCATCTGTCTGGGTAGGGTGAAGTTCTCCAGTTGCAGCTTCATCCCAGAGACAGAGAGCAAGGAGCTTGATGAGTTAGTTGGGGCTTGGGTTTTGAGGCTGCAGAGGGATGAGCAGCCGGGACAGCTACTGCAGTGCTCCGTGCCTGCCGAGCCGGCGCTGCTGCCAGCCCGCCAGCAGCTGGGGAAGGAGCCAAGAGCCAGAGCTGCTCTTCAGAGTCAGGGAAAGCCAAAGCAGAAATCCCTCCTCTCAGGAGTGTCTTCTCCAGCAGTTTGCCTTGCCCACCAGCAACCGTGGTGTCTCCAGGATCTCCTTCTGCTCATGTCTCCTGTGGAAGAGGCTGCCCGGCAGGCACCGGGGTAGGTGGCAGAAGGTGGACACAGTTCAACACTGCAAGTGTGTGACCCAAGTGCTGTGTCTGGGCTTCTTGTAGAGAAAACAAGACCCGGCAAAATTATCGTCAGAAACTGTTTTACCTCATTGCTCTTCCTCGTGGGGAATTCTTCAGGGCCATTTCCATGGTGCAGCCTCTCTGTAGCAACGAGATCGGGTTGAATCAAACCGACTCTGCTGCAGAGCCCAGCAAGTGTGTGACCCAAGTGCTGTGTCTGGGCTTGTGCTGTGTCTGGGCTTCTTGTAGAGAAAACAAGACCCGGCAAAATTATCGTCAGAAACTGTTTTACCTCATTGCTCTTCCTCGTGGGGAATTCTTCAGGGCCATTTCCATGGTGCAGCCTCTCTGTAGCAACGAGATCGGGTTGAATCAAACCGACTCTGCTGCAGAGCCCAGCTTCTCTCTCCCCTAACCAGTGCTCTTTTTTTGCTGCCTTGCTTAGACCCGTTTGCGCCGGGGTGATGAGGAGAAACCTGCTGTGTTCTGCAGAGCTTGGCTGCGGCGAGCAAAGGTCAAGCTGTGAAACTGCCACGAACAACGTGCCCCGAGCACAAGCATCGCTCGGGCCCCTCCTGCTGCTGCTGTGCCCGACAGCTCTGCTGCCTGCCTGGCTGGGGGCCGCGTTCAGCACCAGGGGCCCCGTCCCACCGGGTTAAACCCACCCAAGGCTCCCGCTCGGCTTCGCAGGCGCTTTGAGACGCAACTGAAACCTGTGCTGGACGTGGGGGGAGAAGCTCCCAGGGCGGTTCGGCGGCCCTGCCTGCTGCTGCAGCTCGGACC